ACCTTCTGGGGCAGAGGTCTTTTGTTGCGATACGGTATAACATAGGTATATAATTTTGAACTTTAGTACTCCTAGTATACGTACCAAAATAGCATAAAACTCTGGTCTAGACTGTGTGACAATTTCTCTAATTGGTCTAAAGACTAGTCTTGCAAAACCTGCTGTGTCTTTAGTCTCGTTTTCTTCATTAATATAGAAGAAAACAGATGTTTTAAATATTTGAATACCAAAGTTCAATACTACGTCATATATTTCGTTTACAAAGTTGTACCGATTCTCCATCCACTATTTCAACTGATTGTCCATTGCGTGACTTAAGTTTTCACCTAAGAGCGGATACAATTATCTTATTATTTTCATATTAACCAAAACTTTAGCCGTTCACAATATTTCCTATCTCCGTTGTCCATAATATTAAGAAAGACCATAACTTACTTACATACAAAAATTTATACTTTAGAACTAACAAAAAATATGTTGATACAAAGACTAGCGCCTCAATTTTTAATTCAAATAAAAACAAAAAGTCTCAAATCGATCTATAATGTTATCGATTGATCTATCCTCATAATTTGTATGCCCAAACCAACCCATCACTTCGATACGAAATCGAATGAACGTAATTGTTATAGTCGGCAATAGTGGTGTACTCAAATTGATTTCGAATAATTTCGATTATACGAACGATTTGGGGCCATAATCATTTAAAATGTTTGTAATAAACGCTATTAAAGGTGAATTTGATATCATAAACGTTATAGAATAGATGAATCCTAATGATGTTGAATGACATTTTGGAAACACGTGTATGGGTCACTCCTAAATATTCTTTTGTGTATGTTGTACTAGGGTGGATCTCCCCTCGGTAACTAATAATAATTTTGAATTTAGAAATGTATTAATCCTTATACATCTACATGCATCACACAATTTTAAAATCGTCAAGCAATTTGTTTCATTAAAATTTAAAGAAAAAAAACAGCTCCAATTTGTATATTAAGTTCGGTATTTTCAAAGAATGATTCGAATCATTTCTTTAGTCCACAAAAAATCATTAGTAAAACAAATAATCTCCAAGTAGATCGTGGTCATAGATCGGTACATTTGAGATGCGCGCGCATGACATCAGCGGAATCGGGGCCGGCCGCCCACCTCCATTAGTCGTCTAGACGAGAGGACAATTGTTATCTATTATCTGTGCATCTTCCAAAAGTACCTTCTCTTACTTGTATTTTACTCCTTTTTGGACATGATGTACTTTTTAGGAGATCCTTGTGGCAATTACTTGGAATTTCCTACTGACTCAAAAGTTAAGTGAGTCACGGTCCATTGAATTCAAGCTAAAGTGTTCAGCTTGAAACACATACAAATGAATAACATAGTCACAAAAACTTTCAGTTAAGATATGACAAATCTAACAAGACTTTTCTATAAGGAAAATCACGCACAATTATCGATAGAAATGGTATTAAATTGAGCTGAGTTATCGATAAGGAGATACCCGATACAAATATGTATTTGATAGCAAAGTTACAACTTCCGCAAGACCTTATGGTCACAGCGGTTGCCATTATCACCATAAAAGAAGCCATTTTAATGAGCACAAAACAAAGGGTTCCGCCGCTGCACTGCCCGTACCACTGGTTCTGTGAATAATCTTGAGAATGTGGTTCAGGTCGAAAGGATCCCTTTTCTCATTAGTCGAAAATGCATCGACTTCTTTTCCAATATCAGAATATTGCGTTTTCTATTTGCCTTCGGAGATTAATGATGTTAAAGATGAAACAGAAACCACGAATGCTGGTTTCTGTTCAAAATATTTTGGAAAATTGTGAGCAACCAGAAACCTACACTACTTAATAATGACAAATAAATCGAAAATTCTTTTTAAATTGAACTACAGTCACTATTGCTATATTTCAGAAAACGATTCTCACTTTCTTGTCACCATGTTCGTTTGGTAGGGGGACGAGTGTGAATCCCTGCACATTACATGACATATATGGCCATCTGATAGCGGACCACTATTTATTACGACGGGCCTGTGCCGTACAGTACAGCAAGAATTGCTTACGATTGCGGACTTCCATAACTGGTTCCTCTATGCAGCACCTTTCTTTATCAACTGCGGAACTTGGAGAGGTTCGTATGCTAAGTTAGAGTCTAACGAATTGCTCATAAGGTAATAGGCTATATAAGTAGGACCTATCATCTTTCAATCAATCAATCATGGTGTTGCACCTGTACCGGTCATCGTTGGGAACGATATCCTCGAAGTTGTAGACCACTACACATACTTAGGGCAGATTATGCAGCTAGGTAGGTCCAATTTCGACAAAGAGGTCGCCCGAAGAATCCAACTTGGATGGGCAGCGTTCGGGAAGTTACGCGAAATCTTCTCATCGAAAATCCCTCAGTGCCTAAAGACCAGGATGTTCAACCAGTGTGTGTTGCCGGTGATGACGTATGGTACCGAGACGTGGTCCCTGACCTCTGGCCTTCTGGAGAAGCTCAAAGTCGCTCAGCGTGCGATGGAGAGAGCTATGCTCGGGGTTTCTTTGCGCGACAAAGTCCGAAATATGGAGATTCGCCAAAGAACAAGAGTTACCGACATAGCTCGCAAAATCTGCAGACTGAAGTGGCAATGGGCAGGCCACGTCGCTCGAAGGACTGACGGCAGATGGGCCAGGAAAGTCCTTGAGTGGAGACCACGGACCGGAAGACGAAGCGTGGGCAGACCTCCCGCTAGGTGGACCGACGACATCGCCAGAGTTGCGGGGAGCCAGTGGATGCGGGTGGCGAGTTGTCGTTCGACGTGGAGGGCTAAGGGGGAGGCCTTTGTCCAGCAGTGGACGTCTTCCGGCTGTTGATGATTGATGATTGAATAGGCTATATAAGTAGGACCTATCATCTTTACTGTCTTCATAATCCTTTGTGTCTAGAAGAGCATTGGTGGCCTTGTAAGTCTTAGGAAAGCAGTTTTAAATTAACTAACTTTGCTAACTTTAAATCTAATTAGGAAGAACAAAAATATAATGAAAATTATTAAAATTTTCTTTATCATTCACAATCCTCTCATGTTTACTACTTTTCTCATACGCTGCAATAAAGCATTTATCATACAATTTATTTCATCATGCACAGTTTGAAGTTTAACAAAAAACTGGTTTCGCAGTCACCAATTTCTAGGAACAAGACATCAAAAGCAGCAGATAATCAGTTCATAATGTCCATGTTTCATCATAATACATGACAGGCAGAGGATTCAGCTAGATTCAAGATAGATATCTCAACAGGTTTGACTAAAACTACGTGTTTTACTAACATAAGTATCGAAATTATAATAGAAGATTACCCTGAAGATGCACACATCAGTACATCGGAAACTAAAAGGGTTAATGGAACAAAAATAATAAATGAAAACAAAGAAAGAACAAAAGAAAACCCTCTTAAAGTGGTCAACAGCGTAATGCAGTCTCAGAAAATATTTCAATGCAACAATGTACATATTAGAGGTCAAAGAAAAAGAATTAACAAACAAGTCCATATTTCAAATACCCGAAGGTTCATCAAAAGAGGCCCTTAGGCCCCGTTCTGGACCTCTTTGTAATTGCTGTGTCATTTACACAAACTTATGAGAAGGCATCTCATAATATTTGCGGACATGCGATGCGTGCCTTCTACATGAATGCATAGTCATCAACCCTCTCTTTTATTGTTGGGTCTACAGAAATATCTTTAACTACATGCAAAATGAGAGTTTTGTTATTATTTGTAACAAAGACTTGTTAGCAGTAATTCTGTTTTTGAAGTCTGTTTTTGCTTCATAGCATTAAATATTGTCTTCTTTTATGGTCGTCTTCTATAGCAAATATATGTCTACTGTATTTGTTTACTCTAAATTAGTTGTTAGAATCAACAAATTATTTTGCGTTATCTTCAGCTTCAACATAATTTGTTCTAATTGGGCTGATTTTATCAATATTCTTATATTGATTTGTCCGTACCGCCACTTGGTTTTTTGTAACACTTAAAGGTTTACTGCAAAATTTATTACCTATATCAAAGTCATGCTAAAAGCAATTTATAAGAAAAAAACTAACAAACTTTTTGCTCCAATATATTGGCTTAACGTCACATATCAATCGACGGCAACCATTAGCATCAATACTAACAAAGAATCACCGAAATGTTTTGGGTTCTGTACAAAAAAGTATTTTTATGGAAGTCTAATGAAATGTCCATTGACCACGTAATATTTCTTAGAACTTCACTGTAATTTGATACAAAATATGGAAGCTAATAAATTACTAGTGACTATTTTTACAATTAAAATAAAATAGAAACTTGAAAGACCTACACAATGCAAACGTTAATATAAAACCAAAACTAATATTTTACAAAAATCCAACAACAAAAGGTAAAACGACTTCCCTGATCACATTTAAATATGATTTATTTAAAGGAACCCAACAAATTCATTACTGCAATATATTTTTTAACGCAATTAAGGACCCACTTGAGTGCCAAGGGCTCGCTTGCGCATCTGTCCGTTGATACACGCACACACGCGCACGATTCAATTCACTCACACAAACACATACTCGTGCACGTGTATTGCTTATGTGGGTATCTATAGGGTGCGGTGAAATAATAATTCTAACGGTTCATATGGCATATGGACGGGGTATCAGTTTGGAAACTAGTAACGATTTTTTTTTTACTTATGGGGTTGAGCTTGATTGCTTATGTTTTGGAGATTTTTTGGGCTTAGTTTTGCAATGTTTCGTATAATGTGGGTGGCCAATCAAATATCCTGTAGGATTAACTTTTCAAACATAAAGATACTTTTTATTCACGCTGAAAACAGAGCATTAAAAGAAATATTTTTTGATGTTATCACAGAATCCTAAAGGTCAGTGTTTCCGCCATTTAACAACGTCACAGCTTGTGATTGGCCGAAGAAAGGTTTAATATAAAAAGTAAATAAAGTCACTTACTTGCAAAAATATTCTCCTCTGGGCGTGGACAGGCAGGTACCGCCATTCTTGCATGGCGAAGGTGAACACGAAACGAAACCTGAGAAAGGAAGAAAAAACATTATTAGCATCGTCACAAATATAAACACTAATCAAGTTAATATTTCTAAGAATATCAGAGAGTTTAGCATGAGTTTGTATTACTTTTAAATAATCATAACGGGTATGCTTTCGGCGCTCTGATTGGCGGGCTCAAAAAAACCAACCAATCGGAGCTCCGAACACCGTCTCGTTTCGTACTTTAAGCGTAAAACGAACACTTGTACTAATGCCTCAGATATCGTTATACAAAGGCTACCAAACGCATAATATGTATGATGATATCAAAACTATTTTATCTGAATAATCTTAGTCAGAGTTTATTAGAACTAAGGGTAATAATATGGCTCGCTTCCTTTAAAGGTATTACTTATATGACGTAAAACACAGTAAAAGAAATATCGAAAAGGGCACAGGCAACAAAAGTATCGAAAATGCAAAATAAATAATCAAAGTGTTATTAAAATTAGATGTAGATAATCCACAAATAAACATAATATTTTAAACAATAAAGTGAATGAAGTTAAAGTTCAAATTAACAAAGCAGATAAAAGAACCGTTGCAATGAATATGGAGTTTCAACAGAAAAATGATACACATTTAATTCATCTGATTAATTGCACTGGCTCTATGTCTGTCTGTCATAATACATGACTGTAAATGGTCATACAGGTCACTGCTGAGATTTCAAATAAAAATTCAGAATATTACACTGATCTTGATAAGAATTGTCATTAGATTTGTAATGAATGAGATTGTGTAAATAACATTTGCCTTACAACTTTAGGTCACCGTTAAAGCGAATAATTTGGTCGTTTGAGGCTTAGAACTTGAAGCCTTTATAGTAGTTTTTTAGCTTTTTGAACATAATTTGGAGTTAAATTATAAGAGGTAAATGTAGTGGTAGTAATACAACCAAAGCTGGTGCCTAAATAGAGCACAACAACAGAGAAAAAAGCAAAAGAAAATCTGAGTGCAATAGAGGACAATAAATCTAACGAAAAACCTTCTCCGTGTGAAAAGAGACTTTGCTCAGCAGTGGGCATTTAATGGCTGTTGATGATGATGAAATCTAACGATAGTAAACCCATTTATAACTTCGATTGCAATGGAAACTTCATTCACAATACTACAAACATAATGCACAATAACTTTAAGTTATTTTTAAAGTTAATTAAATACTGCCAAAAGATTTTTGCTCCCATTTGTAAGCCACAAGTGGTTTGGTTGCGGTTAAAAAAACAAAACAAAACGACGCTAAAGTAGATGGATTGGCGACGAAAACATCCGAGTGATCCGGTGGTAAATGTCTGATACGAATCAGCAAAGACTTGGAACATATTGCCTGTGTCTTTGGGAGTAACTGATGTCGTGATAACGTTTAAAACGTTTTGGGAGACATGAGTGATAAGAAAATGGCGAATTGTTGGCTTAAGTAAATTCTTGTGCAGAAAATGGTAGTAGTTTAAAGAAATTGTGTAATAATGTTTCAATTGTTATAGGTATAGGTAGACTATAAATTCATCTAATCTCTCCAAAGTCCGAATGCCAAAGCCTTTGATAACATACTAGCTACTTGCGCGCGGTTTCACCCGCTCTGCTCGTCTCCTTTAGATCGTAACGAGGTGTTTTATAGTCTATAGCCTTCCTCGATAAATGGACTATCCAACACAAAAAGAATTATTCAATTCGAATCAGTAGTTTCGGATATTAGCGCGTTCAAACAAACAAACAAAAAAACAAACTCTTCAGCTTTATAATATTAGTATAGATTAGAAGTATATTCTAAAAGATAAGAATAGAATCTCTCCAAATCTTCTCTCGCCTAACAGATAAACCTTTTTCATTTGAATGCATATCCCAAAACGTAATTAATTTATGCGCATTATTTAAAAGAACTACTTTACATACATAAAGCATACAACAAGATACATCCATCTGAAGATGCTGTTTGTTAAACAGTAGCTTCAATTGTAACGATGAAAAAATTAAACATTCGATTTGTTATCAACACCGCGAGTATCGATCGATTCGATCTCGATTTATCGATCACTCACAATCGAGACCACCCAAACATAATCAGATGCGTTCTGCAGGAAATTGGACTCAAAATGGCGGCTTTTATTTAATTTAATTTGAATAAATATAGGAGAAAATAAAATGACCTAGCTGTTGAACCAGATTATTGCAATGTTTGTTTTATAAAACTCAGTTCAAGTCGCAGTTTATTTTATTAACTCTTTGAGTACCGTCATTATAGACACAATTATAGAACAATAGGTTGCGGTCACCGGTGTCCTCGCGCTGTTTGACAGTTTAAAAAAAACATTAAAACAAACTAAATATAGAACATACAAAACATGTTTTTCTTATTGCGTTATATTTCTTTTCCGTGGGAAAGTACAAGGTACAAAAGTACGTACCTAAAAAATTTTTGAATAAAAGTATCCTTAAATTAAACATGCAAACAAGATTATGCCAACATTACATGTAAAAAAAACTATGTATTTTATTAGTTACCACTTTTTTACACCAATCCCAAAGTAAAGTAAACATCTGTGCGAAATAGTAACGAATTTTCACAATTTCCTATCAATTTCAACATTTGAATTCTTTAAGTGGAATTTGATAAGGCATCCTTATTTGAAGAAGCGATAGATAATTTTGGACAAAATTAAAACATGATAAGGCCGCTTTTCACTTGTTTATTTTGCTCTTGTGGCTACATAAACATACTTGAAAGTTGCTTAAACATGTGTGGGTAATTCTGTTACAGAATATTTAGTATTACCTTTTACCCGCGGCTTTGCCCGCGTATTCCTCCGTATTCCATTTATCCTATGGGAGCATTTAATCAGGAAAATATCCTATCACTTAAGTCAGCCCAAACCCTACCTGTACCTATACTAAATTTCATGTTAATCCGTTCAGTAGTTTCAGCGTGATTGACAGACGAACATTCAAGTAAAGAAACTTAATAGTATTGTCTAGATATTTATTCAATAAATTTCCTATTGTATTTAGTCTTTGTAGAAAGACGCTGAGAGATAAAATCACTATTTACTAAATAACATGCTCAAATCAAGTTCTAAGTACAATGCTAAAAGAATGGTAAAAACATTAATAAATTTTCCTTCATCGACTTATAACAATCTGAACAACAACGAAAGCAGAATAAATTCGTCGGCACTCGATAACTTATCACCAATAAATAACCAATAATGTAAACATGTTCGGTGATTGACACGCGTGGGAACAAGTTCACACTAATACTAAACTAAGTAAATACTGATAAAACTGACCAAGTACCAAATTTAGGAACTTCAAATGTAATCTAGAGTGTGCTGGAGACAGTTATATATTAATGAAGGTAAACTCCCAAAACATTGGTAGCTTCAAAAACCGTAGCTTGATAGGATGCGAATTACATCTACTCAAGATGGCGACTGCGGTTTGTCTGTCAGTGTCATTAAAATGAATTAATAAAACGAAATAATATAGCTGGTAAAATATTCTATCGATATATCTGTTGTAGATATAATAGATAGATATAGATGCTCATCAATCCCAAGATAAATTATTTCATACACATGTAAATCAAAAGGCCTTTGTTTATATAATAACTATCGTGAGACATACTAAACTCAGCCAGCTGCGCGACGTCGCCTCGACCGCGCACGCTGCTTATGAGGAAGAACCCCTCTGTGGTTCGAATGTAGAAGAGCTTTTCTCAGTATATTCACGTGAGGAACCGCCTTTGTTGCTAAGCACAACACTCCAAAACAGCTGGACCGGTTTTGTTAAAGTTTGTTATTATCAGGAGAATGTAAAATATGGAAAAAACATCATCAGTTTTTTTGAAAAACATTGCCCCACACTAGGATTTTCTCCTGTGTCGTAAGTGCGTTTACAAACATACAAGTTCACATACACATGACACCCAGACCCGGAACAACAATTTGTGGATCACACAAAGAGTTGCTCCGCGCGGGAATCGAAAATCGTCGCGTGGCAACCGATTGCCCAGCCACCGCACTAACCGTGTTGTCAGTTTATAATAGAACTAATATTTTAAATATAAACTCCATAACCAAAAACGGATCTATGAAACAATTTGACAATGCTCACGCGCAATTGTTTGTGATAGTCAAGGACATATCATTTCGGGTCACTCGTTCAACTGGGATCAGTTAAATGCCATGATCCGCATACCAAACGCGGTAAAGGGCTTTTAGGGACCTTTCATTTACGAATGGACTTATTTTGATAAACAGCAACCTAATAAAAACAAAATGGTGTCTTGACATACATGATTGTTAAATTCATATTAATATGTCATATCGTGATTACTATTTTGGATCAATTCCCGGATCGGGCAATGTATAACTGGGTTTTAAAAAAAATGTCAGTAGTAGCACGGAGTCTGAAATTGTGCCCGATATACGGCAATAGGCTCACCTCCTATTACATGGGACTTATAACATAAATAGTGAAAAATGGGTGTTACATTGTACAGTGGCATAATATGCACTGTCTGCCTACCCCTTCGGGGATAAAAGGCGTGATGTTATATGTGGATCAAATCGACATTAAAACTATTATACATGTCGTTGGTCAATGTCTAACTTAAAATTTAAGCATCTTAATGATAAAGGTTTAAAATAGGTTACGAGTACCTACAGCTTAACCAAATGCACTATAAACCTAAGACTTGAACAAAATCACCAAAAGCAGATGGGAAAATCGTCCTCAGATCGACAAAACACCGAAACCCCGTAGAATTTAAACAAAGCGACCGAGTCTACACATTCGTTTTTTCGAAAACCTTCCCAAAACCGAGTATCGGTCGCGGACGGGTGCTAGCGCAAAAACTGGACGCGTCTGCTGTCACCTTATAAGGTCACTTCATCGTTTTTTGTCCGGACCGCAGGACCGGTGAAGGACCGTCGGATAATTTCCTACCCATTGTTGTGCAGATGAAGATAGGAATAAAATTGATAC